AAGACCAATTCAAGAATCCTGTCCATCCACTTTTTCGCCACGACACTTTACAACAATATGAATTCCCTAATTTTTCCAATTCCGCCTAGCTGTTTTCATATTATGCCCGGTCAGAATCTTTATTATAAAACATGGTGATGCTGACCAAAATGCACATGTGGTTTTCAAAATATTGGTATGGAACAAATTAAATTTCAATTATGGCATCAAATTTTCTTTGTTTTCTGTAGAGTTATGAGTTCCTTAAGCAGAGAGCAATCAATTAAGTGCTTTAATGCTCTATTCACCTTCCTTTTGCAGTTGCTAAAAGAAGCGTCAACCATGCTGCACCCATCGGTGGAATACCGCCTGGATAAAGGACTTATGGGACTTTTATGCTGTGATAGGGATGAAAGCTTTGAAGATTTGGCTCGAAGATTTAGTACAAATTCTTTCGTCTCACCTTATCTAAACTGGGAATCCGACACACTGGACCTTCTGGCTCGCACTAGCACCAGATTAAGGGTTACCAAAATTAAGGTATCTCCAGACGACCGTTACTTAGCTGTAGAATATTCAGTAGCAGATGGGTTGCGTCAACTCATTGGTATTTGGAGTGGTGGTCTATCTACAAAAAATGGCAGTTTACTGGCTGGATTGGCCCGCTCTTCCTCTCAGAGTCGCCTTAGATTTGGCACGGATGTTAATGGAACTTCCTTGCTACTTCACTTTGTTCGAGGAGGATCTGAATTTCTCATAGTTGAATTATCTTATGGCAGTAACCTTGGAGGCAGTGATGGTGATAACGCAAGCTCCAGTACGCAAGTTGGGACTAAGCCTGAAGTATCTATTTCAGGAAGCCATAGTCAACGCTGCGTCCCGTCATTGCCTGAACCGAATCGACGTATCTACAACTTCCGTGCATTCCGGCAGGCCATTGATGATGCTTATCTCATCCGTGGGGGTCATATTTTGGCAGCTGTGTCAGGAAAAATAGTAAGGGTAAGGTTGACAAGCCTTATCGATCAACATAAAGGAAGTGAGACTCTGCGATTCATTGGAAGAGAATTAAATGGACCAGTCTTTAGTGCTGAATTGGGTTTGATATACGCTAATTCGGACAATGACTTATTGTCATACTATAATATTTACACCCAATCCTTATTTAGACTAAGTTTACCTCAACGCTGCATATCACAAATAGGAGACTACGAGAATATTGCTAAACATTTACTCCAAGGAGACCTCCATGAGGAGTTTCCCATAGAACGGCACCTCAGTCCTGACGGAAAACGAATGGCTATCGTCTACTCATTCAGACATAATTGTCCTGGTATGTTCGATCTCGAAGACTCACCAATTCCTGAGAAGAGTTTGGAGTGGATGATGCAAAATATCTATCGGAAACCTTCCATCCAGAGTATCAATTACTATACTGGACTTGGGGGTCAGTGCGAAAACGGGACACACGCTCTTAAAGATAGTTCAACTCTGGTCATTACAAGACCACTAGCAGCTTACAAGCGCACGATTGTACGCCTTTATGATCTAACTGGCAAGATAGCAGGAGGTGGCTGCGAGATGCTATGTCAGATATCACTACAGGGCGAACAGATATTTGCTTTGACGGCCCACCATGGTCTTCTAACTTTACGACCCAATCACGTAATTACCTCTTATAGCTGTTACAAAGTTGATGGTCCCTCTGGTCCAGAGAACTCTTCCGTAAATAAAACGCTTTCATTAGACTATGACCGACGCACTACACTATCAAGATACTCACCAATCGATGGACACTTTCTGGGTTACGCTGATTTTGAGCATCCTGTGCTGCCCGGGGCCCGACTTATTGGTCAAGATGAGTACCGTTTAATAGTCTGCTGTGGGGTCAATGGAAGGTGGCTCCGAATCATGTTGGCGCCATCATTTAAGCAAATTGAGTTCGAGTGTGATGTGGAGTCCGTTTTACGCCGACATGATGAATTAGCCAGGTCAGCGCGGGTCACAAGAATCTTTCCCTGCGAGGCTGCATGGAGTAATGTGGTCGTGCAATTCGCATGGATAGTAAGCATTCTGGGTTGCTAAAATCACCAACCATTCAGATAAATTTCCTTCATCTAATAGGCAACAAAATCTCTAATTATTTTAAATATAAGTATTAAATATGTCTGGGGATTACAACGCTTACTAACGTAAAAAGTTATGGACGTACGTGGTGTAAGGGGGTAATCCA